TCTTGTATAGATGTGAGAGTTGGAACCTAGAGAAGACTGAACACTGAAGAATTAATGCTTTCAAATTGTGGTGCTGGAGAAAACTCTTGGGAGCCCCTTGGACAGCAAGATCAAACTAGTCAATCCTAAAGGAAATCAACCCTGAATATTCATTGGAAGGACTGATGCTGAAGCTCCAATATTTTGACCACCTGATCCACCTCGTTGAAAAAGACACTGATACTAGGAAAGATTGAGGGCGGGAGGAAAAGGGGACGACAGAGGATGAGATGGTTGGATGGCATCACCAACTCAATGGACACGAATTTGAGCAAGCTCTGGGAGATGGTGAAGGACAGAGAAGCCTGGCGTGCTGCAGTCCATGGGGTCACAGAGTCAGACACGACTGAGTGACTGAACAGGAACAACAAAGGCCTGAGAAAAGTGAGGCGACGTCTCTGAGGGTCCCTGGGCAGGACAAGCAGGGCGGGGGGTCAGGAAGAGCACCAGATTTGAGACTTCACCTGAGCACGAAGGGGAGGTTTTGGCACCTTTAGGAAGAGGTGTCCATGGTCCAGGCACCCATTTGCTGTGCACAGGAATCGAGGATGAAGCCGCTCCACCATTTGGAAAGGGGACACAGCCATCCAGGCATGAGGACTCTGGCTCAGTACAACCCCCTTGCTCTGGGAGATGCCTTGGACCCCACGATGTGACTGGAGGAGGCCCCGGGCCCCAGCTGTCCATGTCTGTGGCCCAGCTGCCTGGCCCTTCCCGACACGGAACCTCCTCCTGCTCATGTCCCTGAGGAAGCCCCTGTTCCTCCTCTGTCCCTCAAGTCTGGAATTCTTTATCCAGAAGGAAATCTGTGGAAGCTTCCAGGGATTCAGCCAGCACCCCCAACCTCCCTCCACTGCTAACAGAAAGTGTTGGGAGGCCCAGATCCTTTGTCAGGAACACAGGTGTCCCTAGTCACCTGTAGGGACAAGAATGCCACGTGACCGAGAGCAACAACTCGCCTGGGGGCTGGACACCTCCTGGCAGGTCCACATGTGGAGATCAGGGGCCATGGAGTCACAACCCTCATGTGGGGATGCTCGGACGCCTGGACTGTGGGCCAGTGGGGCTTGGAGGCCAAAGGGTACAGCAAGTATGGAGCTCCCACACACACACACACACACTGCCTCCTGGACAGGGGGAGAAAGTGGGCGGAGGGGACATGGATGGGACAGGACTTGGCTCGGAGCTTCCAGGGTGCACGTTGGTGCCCTAGGTGGGTGCTACCCACCTGGCTCCTAGAACCAGCAGTCTTTTAACCACAGACCCATGGGCCTGGCTTCCAACGACTGCCCTCACTGGCTCCCACTTTGGCCACGTCCTGAGTCAAAACATCTGCTGCACGCCCACCCCCTCGGGCTGAGTCAGAGCCTCCCTCCCTCCACCCAACCCGCAGCCCACGCCTGGCTCCCCGCCCAGCTTCCCTGCCCCCACCACAGCCGAGGGGCCAGAACAGACGTCAGTGTCCAGATGGCAGTGGTCTGCCTGGCCTGGGTTGCTTCTGAGGTCAATTAAATCAGACTGGTGGTCTCGGGCCAAGCCGAGGAGGGAGCCATGATCCTTGCCACCTTCCTGTGCCGCCCCCAACCCCTACCCCAGCTCCTGGAGTCCCTTCGAGCCCCTCCCCGCCTCAGCACCACCCCCACCCAATGCCCCCAACAAGCCACCAAGGCGCCTTGTTCCCAAAACACTGGTCACAGAGGGCGGTATTGACTCAGGAAGCTGCCTGCCAGGAAGTAACACTGGTTTTAAAAGAACGGAAGTGAGGCTGGACCTAGAGAAGTGCCTTGAGCGTGGACGTAAGGCCTTCAGGAGCAGGACCCCTGGTGAGAAGATGGACCTTGGCCTCCCACTGTCCCGAAGGGCACTTTCTCCTCCGCTTGTAAGTGAAGCTGGCCCCAAGAGGTTGAGCAGAGCCCTGCTCGCCAGCCATGAGTGGGGCCCCGACAGGCCGCAGTCCAGTCGGACGCGGGGAGCCACTTCCTGAGCCCAGCCTCCACCTGCAGGACGAGATCCATGTGCTGGGCAGCAAGTTGATGAGGCCTCCAGGGTGGAGGCAGAGAGTGTCCCAAAGCTGAGACCTGGAGGAAGATCCTTCCCTCAGGCCTGAGCCAAGAGGCCCCTGGAGGGGGTTCTCAGCCTGGCCATGTTAGCTGTCCCACATCCCGACAGCCGGGACCCAGCGGGGACCCGCTCGCTCTGACCGAGTGAGCCTTCTGACCTAGACCCTTTCCCTTTCTGTCATCTTCTCATTTCCTTTCTTTTTTTTAAATTATTTTAATTGGAGGCTAATTACTTTACAACATTGTAGTGGGTTTTGCCATACGTTGACATGAATCAACCATGGGTATACATGCGTTCCCCATCTCATGTCCTTCCCTCTCCTGCCCCATTCTTAGTTTTTCTTTCCACGTACAACCCCCGTGTGTGCGTGCTCTGTAGCTTCAGTCGTGTCCGACTCTGCGACCCCGTGGACTGTAGCCCACCAGGCTCCGCTGTCCATGGGGTTCTCCAGGCAAGAATACTGGAGTGGGTAGCCATTTCTTCCTCCAGGGGATCTTCCTGACCTAGAGACCAAACCAGCGTCTCTTACGTCTCCTACATTGGCAGGTGGATGCTTTATCACTAGTGCCACCAGGGAAGCCCCATAATTCCCCTCCTTTGCCCTAAATCAGGACTGGACAAAAGGAAGCAGGCAGGGCATAGCCCTGTTGGGCCACATGGCCAGCCCTCCAGTCAGTGGGTGATGCTAGTCCCCAGCAGCCGGCTCAGCCAAAGACCATCCACAGCGGAGGGACCTCGACTATGCCCTGAGCTCATGGAGGAAGTGAGGGGACCAATCTCTGGCCCCAAAACACTGACCACGCCCCCAAAGCACTCACTCTCTCATGTCACTTCTTGCTTCTGCTTATTCGTTTCCTTGAGTCTATTTCTTCTCCACCTTTCAGGCTCGCTGTGTCCATCTCTGTCTCTGTGTGTCTGTCTCCCCAACCCCACACCGCCCACATACAGGACTTTGTGTTGTTGTGAGTGCTCCTGACAAACTGACTCTGTTCATTTATCTTCCATGAACTCCTCTTGTTGGTTGTCTGCTTGAATGACTGTTTCTCCCAAGGAAGATAAAACAATCCTGATGATCTTGCAGTCAGCCCCGTGTAGTGTGAGTTCTGCAGGTAACAGCACATGGCGGGCCGTCGGGCTGCAGATGAACAACAGTGAGGCTCCTGAGGCTCCAACCACTCCCTGCATGACTGCCAGCACAAACGGGGCTCCCCAGTTCAGCCCCCAGAGTCCTGCAGGGGACACGGATCTGATCCCTGGTCAGGAAACTAAGGTCCCACGTTCTGGGCAGCACAGGCAAATAAAAAACAAAAAAGTTACGCTTAAAAAAACATTAAAATCCCAAAGGAAGAATACTGAGTGTTTAAGAAATAAAATAAGTAGTTTTAATTATTCTGTCTTGGCCAAGGCTCATTGGGCTGGGCCAGGTGACCCAGGTGGGCCCTCTGAGTCAGCCCTTCTGGGCCCATTCAGGATGGGGTTGACCAGAAGACTTCAAGCTTCTACCCAGGGATGTTAGGAGTACGGGCAGCTCTGGTTGTTTTCAGGGCGCATCCCAGATGGAAGCAGTAGCCAAAGCCCCAGCCCTAAGTGTGTATGGAGGCCTTGTGCCCCTTGCCCACAGAACCCCTGAAACACAGAGCTCCTAGGTGTTCATGCAGGGCACAGGCCCCTGACCAACCAGAAGCTTCCCGTGTGCATGTGTGTGCATGTGTGTCTGTGTCGTCTCTGTGTTCTGTCCTGGCCTGCTGGCCATGTCCTAGACACCCGCCCCCTCCAGGCACGTGGGTGGACCTGGCAGCCAGTGCCCCTCAGGGAGCAGGGACGGCTCTTGACTGTGGTCCATAAGTGACCTGAGAGGTGTCCTCTCTCTTCCCTCCTCCTCCCATCCCTCACCCTGTGTCCCCACCAGTCCGTAAAAAGGACACCTCCCAACTTGCTTTGGGAAAAAAGGAATTTGCTGAGAAATCTATTACCAAAGAATTTTCAGCCTGCGAGCAAATGTCTGGTTGTGCACAATTCCGTCCTTCAGAAGCCCTATTATACGTTGTCCTTGTTTGTACCTTGAGAACTAAACACAGGAGCAACCCTCTGACAGTGGAGGGCGGCTATGGAGGTGGAGTGAAGGTGGAGTCGTTGGCTCTGGGCGCCAGGACTGTCCAGGGGCCAAAGGGCAGGGTGCCTCCCCGGATGCAGCTCTGGGCTGCCGGGAATGCTCGCCTGAGCCCAGTCCCCGGCCCCCAAACGAGTCCCCAGCCCCCAAACGAGTCCCCGGTCAGACCTGTGAGGACAGCTTCCCAGGGCATTAACACTAATGTCCTCAATTGTGTGCAGGGCTTTCAAATTTAAAAACCAAGTCCACACTCGTTATCTCATGCCTGTGACCACGGTCCACACCTGGGGACCAGGAACCTCAGCTCGAAGGCTGGCCCTACCGCACAGGGGGTACCCAAACCTCGGTCCTCCCCGGAACCTGGAGGGTCACCGCCCCGGGGCTCCATTGCTCAAATACCTGTGGGCCAAAAGCGGCCGGGGCACAGGCAAGGCCTTTCAGCTTCAGCTGGCAGTGCTGGGTGTGTGCAGTGCCAGCCCCTGGAGGCTATCTCAGGACACAGGGCTGATTAAAAACACACAAAATCCACCTTCAAAATCCAGAAGACCTCAGCAATAACGAATATGAATTAGTCAGTCTGCCACCAGAGATGGTTCCAGGCAGAACACCCAAGAGCCTGGCTGGGGGGAGCTGGTGGCGGTCACGCCCCGCGCCTGCCAGGCCTGGGCCCCGCGCCTGGCCCTCCTGCCTTCTGCTGCCACTGGGTTGCTCCTGTGTCGCCGAGACCTGGAACGCGGGCCTCTTCGTGGGAGACTCATTACAGCTTATCTCTGTCTGCCTTTCTTTAAAGCCAGCTGAACATACCCAATGCTCTCCCTTTATGGTAAGACCGAGCCTCCAGACCACGCTCTCAGCTTCTGTGACCCCCCCCCCAACGTCCCCACTGCCCCCCCAGCCCCCGGCGTCTCGGAGCCCGGCCCCGATGCATGTCACCCACCCGTGTCTGCCATGCGCCTTGCCTGCCTGGTCTGCGAGCTGTCAGTGCTGTTGGTGTGATGTTTCGTCCGTGAGCTTTCCTGTGGGTGGCAGTTCACTGTGACCTTGACCGTCTGAAAAGCCACTGGGAGAGAATCAGACCGGAGGGCCAGTTCCTGTTAAACATCCTGAGGACCCTGCTCGTTGGCATCTCCAACCTTAATCTGATGTGGGGCTTGCACAGGACACCAGCCGGGGCCATGGCGAGGCCCCTGGGAATGAGGAAGGAGAGGTGATGTAGTGGAGGTGGAGAGGCAATGGGTCCCTCCTGATCACCAGCTCCTGGGATCTCTGATCAAGGTCCCAACGAGAGGTTAAGTTGGGATCCTTAGCTATGAGAGGCATTAGAACTGAGCCACACGCCTGCGTCCCTGAAGCAGGCCATGTGGTCAGGGTCACTCCTGCTGCAGGAGTCTTTGGCTAAAGAGAGAGAGCAGCCACTCTGAGTGACCTTGAAGTCACCTTGGAGCAGCTGTCTCCAAGAGGCTGCAGTGAGACTTCATACGTGGAACGATTGTGAGTTTGTAGAAGGACTGGAGTGTGGGTTGATTCCCCAGGCCCCGAAGTGAGCAGATGAGGCAAGACCCAGGGTGGCGTTCCCTGACAAAGCCCATGCCCATGGCTGGAAAAGCTGACCCTGGGCGTCCTGCCCCCTCGCCTGGTCAGTAGAGCATTGGGCACCTGCAGCGTTGGGTGCCCAGGACCACGCAGTCTGCAAGCTCGAGTTTGGCTGTTTAACAAGTCAGATGTTGATGCCCCTGCGGCACCCACTTCCCAAACTCGCCGCACAGCTGAGGCTCCATGTGAGTTGGTGCTTTCTTCTTCCTCTCCTTCCGAGCGTCGCGGGGGGCCAACGGCTGAGTTAGCCCTGAGCCTCCTCTGCACCTTCCTCTGGTGGGCACAATCTCCTTTTAAGGAGAGAAAGTAGAACTTCAAGTAGGTACACAGATGATAGAAATGCAAAGAGGAAGGGCATCAAAGACTTCAAACCACACAGGCAGGCGGTTTCCTGTGTTGGGGGGCAGGGGGGGGCGGCCTGCTGCCAGCTCCTCCCAGCCCCGGCACTGCCTGGAGAGCAGCTTTGGTTCAGAAAGAGAAGGGCAGGTGTGCCTCTCCCGGGGCGGAGCAGGGTGTGCTGGTAAACCTGCCCCTTGGGGGTGTCCTGTTGTGTTGGAGGTGAAAGGAGAGGCCCCTGGAGCAGCCACAGGGTTAGACACAGGGGACATGAGGGCTTCTGTGCTGGTGGGATTTTCAACACCAGATCGGGTGTTGTCAGGCCCGATCTGACCTGGAGACGGTTAGAAGTAAAGCCAAAGGAGCTGGGAGTTGAGAAGTGGGGGCCACACAGGGCTCAGCAACAACCCAGGGACGCCTCCAAGCAGGGGCCCTGCGGCAGGAGCAGTAACAGGAAGCCCAAAGGTCCCTTCTCTCCCGGTGCCACAGGGCTGGGGGCTGTACTAGGGCTGGGAGCCAGCCAGCTCCCGGGGCCAGCACCCCCAGCTCTCTGTCCCATGTGGGCAGGGAGGGTCAGGGGTCTGTCTGTGCTGAGTGCCCTGAGGTCTGGAGGCAGACGGTGACAGGGCAGCCGGTCTTGTCCCTAGACCTGGTCAGGTGCCCGCCAGCTAGGCCCCCGCCCCCTCCAGGACACCCTGAACAGGGCCCCTTGGTCCCCTCACACCCAGGCCAGACTCATCCAGGGCTCACTCTTGCTGCCCTGGCCCTCCCAGCTCGTGCCCCCCACCCTTCAGGTCTGCAGCCTAAAACCCAGGCCCCAGACGGGTGGAGGGCAGCAGGGGGACAGCCAGGTCTGGTCCCAGCACCAACACCCCGGGGCGGCCTGCAGCCTGGGCGGGGGGGGCCATGGAAAGTGGGGGCGATGACACCTAGAGTGCCGAGTCTGGGCAGCCAGGGAGCAAGACCCTCCATGGGCAGCCCACCCACCCACCAGGACCCCAGTGCCACCTGGCAGAGAGCCAGCCGGTCCCACTGGGAATGAAGGACCCTGAGCCGGGCCGGGCAAGAGGGAGGCTGGGGCCCCTGGGGTGGTTCTCAGCCTAGATCTCAAAGCAGATGGAATTGCTACAGAATCACCTGTCCCCCCCCCCCAAGGAGGCGGGGAAGATTAGGGGTGCTGGGGAAGACGATCGGGGCCAGGGCACTGCTGGGCGCTGCCAAGGCCAGGGGCTGGCCCGCCCACCCCTGGGCGCCTGAGAGTCTAGTGCAGCCCACCACCCCGCTCGCCTCTACCCCCACCCCGGGCCGTGCCGAGCAGCCTCGCCCGCCCACCCGCCTGGTAACTGCTGTGTTAACGGCCCCAGAACGCGGAGGAGAACTCTCGCATCTCCATCACCTTCTTCCGCCTCTTCCGGGTCATGCGTCTGGTCAAGCTGCTGAGCCGTGGGGAGGGCATCCGGACACTGCTGTGGACCTTCATCAAGTCCTTCCAGGTAGCCAGCCCTGCCCACCCCACCCCAGGTCCTCCCGGACGGTGCTCCCAGCTTAGGCATCGTCAGCATGGGGCAGTCACCTCCTCCCAGAGGCGGTCCAGCAGGGTCTGCTCATCACACCCACTTACAGACTTCACCAGACCCCCTAGGACCTGGTGTCCCCAAGGGGCCTCAGGGCTGCCAACTGCAGGGTTGATCTCTGCTCTCAAGAGTCACTTCCTCCTAAAAGTGGGATAGCTGGCCCTGGCCCTGTCCTCTCTAACGAATCTCATACACGTCTGAGGTTGGAAGAAGCACAGTTGTTAGGTCCCCGAACTTCCTGAAGATGCTGGCGTAGGGACCCCTGTACCTGAAACTCCTGACTGCAGGTTTCCTGAGACAGAGATCCCCAGTGTGGAGGGGCCCAGGGACAGGATTGGGGTGGGTTCTGACCCAAACATGTAGGACTGAAGTTGCAGCCAGAGGAAGAGGCTGGGCTGTCGGGGCACTCCACCCCATCCACCAGGACAGGTGCCTCCCCACCCTCTCCCAGCCATCTGCTCCAGGGATCTGAGTGGTTTCAGTGGGGGTCAGGCCTGGGCCTACCCCAGCATCCAAGAGCCACGGGTGACTGCAGACCTCACAAACTCACCCACCCCCAACAGTTTCTGGGCTGGGAAGGGGGCTGAGGAGCAGGCCTGAAGGTGGACGGACACTCCATGGGCCTGAGGCACCACCTGGAGGTGTGTGGGCTCTGTCCATGCTCTGCAAGCCCAAGGCCTCCCCAGGAGGAGGCAGGGACACTGAGCAAGTAAGATGCAGGAACCAGCCACAGGCCAGTGCTACCTGAGCATTTTGTGAGCCTTAAGTCAGCCAGACCCCCAAATCCCTGAGGTCACTACTCCTCCTCCCATTTCTCAGGTAAGGACACTGAGGCTTAGAGAGGTTAAGCCCGCCCAGGAAGCAGGCTTGAGCTAGGGTCTTGTCTTGTTTAGGGCCTCTTGGTCCTGCCTTTGCTCCACCTGGGGAACAGCTTACAGCTGTGGGGGGACTGGTGGGTATCCCCCCGGCCCTCCGGCTGCATGAGGACAGGTGGGTGGCGGGAGGGCGTTGTGCTCACTCTAGATTGTTTCTGCCGAGGGAGCATCATGCTGTCTCAAGCTCAGCGCCCAGTTTTTTGGGTCCCTCGCCCCAGATCTCAGGTGCCTGAAACCATGGGGAGGGGTGGGGTCAAAACGAGACTCGGGTTCCCCTCAGTACCCAAAACATCCGTGGGGCTTCTGGAAGTGCCCCCTGAGCCTGGCAGCAGCTGGTGGCTGCAGAAATGCTGCCACAGGGAGGGGTCCCGCCACCGGCCTCACACATACATGTCCCGCAGGCCCTACCCTATGTGGCCCTCCTGATCGTGATGCTGTTTTTCATCTACGCCGTGATCGGGATGCAGGTAGGACAGGCTTCTAGCCTCCAGCCCACTTCCCCTGATGCCCCCCTTCTGGGGTCAAAGAGGTCACCAGAAACGTCACTCCTCCCACCCCCATGGTGTCCTGTGGGTGCACAGAGACCCTCTCTCCCCGTGGCCCCCAGCCTGGGTTCCACTCTCTATAGGGAGAAACTCCCCCAAGTTACACAATGAATTGTTAATTATTCCTCAATGAAGTTTTAAGAGAAAAGAAAATGTTGTCAAGAATCTGCAGCCAAAAGAGAAAGAGGAAGGCCAGTGAGCCTTGCCCCTGTGCGGACACAAAGTCTCGGTCTCTGCCTCTACCCGCTCTCCCAGGGCCCTTCCCGGGGGCTGGGGGTGCTATTCTTGAATGTTTGCCCAAAGTGGGGGCCTGGGATGGGGGCTGGACAAAGCAGCAGGTGCCTGCCCCCATGAGGCCCTCTGGTTCCCAAAGGGGACTTTGTTCAGCTTATGAGCCAGTCTGTCCAGGGTCAGCTGTGACCCCTGAAAAGACCATTGGATGCTGGGTGGGAACCACGACCACTGTGTCCATGGCTCACTGATCCCATCCTCTCCCCTGCCAGGTGTTTGGGAAAATCGCCCTGAATGACACGACAGAGATCAACAGGAACAACAACTTCCAGACCTTCCCCCAGGCTGTGCTGCTCCTCTTCAGGTGGGTTTTCTGACAGCCAAGGCCCGATGCAGCCAGATAAACAAATATTTAAAAAAGGAAGACAACCTCTTTCATGTACAGATAATGTTCTTGTCTGGGCATCCTGCCATAACAAATGCCACGGACGGATGGAGAGGTACAAACAGCAGGTGTGTTTTCCTCACATTTCTGGAGGCTGGAAGTTCAAGGTCAGGGTTACCAATGATTCCCATCCTGGTGGGAGCCTCTTCCTGGGCTGCAGACAATATCCTGATCCCTGTGTCCCTGCTCCATGGGGAGAGAGGAGAGCACGTCTCTTTCCTGATATAAAGATGCTGCTCTCACCACACACCCCCAGCCCAACGACCTGTTCTAAACCTAAGTGCCTGCCAGCTCTGTCACACTGATGTTTGGGGCTGCAACATGCAAATTCTGAGGGGACACAGACATTCCATCCATATCAGGCAGTAGCTAATCCATAAATATAATAGATGAGCTCATACACCATCACTGTCTCAACACGATACTACAAGTTTTATCCCATGCAATAAGACGAGAAAAGTAAACCAAAGGGTAAGAATTTGAGAAGAAACAGAATTAAATGCCAAAGAAATGGATTGCCGAAGACAACAAGAAACAGTCCAACTTAAAAATGAGCAGAGAAGTTGAGTATTGCTCCGAAGAAGATATGTGAATGACCAATGAGCACATGAGAAATGTTCAACATCACGAATCATCAGAGATATGCAAATTAAAACTACAGTGAGACACCACCGCACCCCGTCAGGATGGCTACTATGAGAGCACAAGTCCTGCTGAGGGGGTGGAGATATTGGAACATCTGTGCAATACTAGTGAGAATGCAAAATGACAACAGCCACTGTGGAGGAACCGTATGATGGTTCCTCAAAATATCAAAAATAGACTAAAAATTCTGTATGACCCAGCAATTCCACATGTGAGTATATACTAATACCTAAAAAATCAAAAGCAGGCTATCAAAGAGATACCAGCACCCTTATCTTCATGGCAACAGCATTCACAGTAGCTACAGCATGTCAGCAACTGCAGGTCCTTTGAGAGAAGAATGGATGAGAGCAATGTGGTTACAACACAGTGGAACGTGATTCAGCCTTAAAAAGGAAGGAAGTTCTGACTCCTGCTATGACATAGACGAACCTTGAGGCCATGATGCTCAGTGAAACAAGTCATAAAAGGCCAGGTTTCCTGTACGATTCCACTTACAGGAGGTAGTTGGTCAAAATCATTGTTGTCGTTCAGTCGCTTAGTCATGTCGGATTCTTGGCGACCCCATGGACTGCAGCACGTCAGGCTTCCCTGTCCTTCACCATCTCCCAGAGTTTGCTCAAACTCCTATCCGCTGAGTCGGTGATGGCATCCCACCATCTCATCCTCTGCCCTCCCCCTCTCCTCTTGCCCTCAATCTTTCTCAGCATCAGGGTCTTTTCCAATGCGTCAGTTCTTCACATCAGGTGGCCAGAGTATTGGAGTTTCAGCTTCAGCATCAGTCCTTCCAATGAATATTCAGGACTGATTTCCTTTAGGATTGACTGGTTTGATCTCCTTGCTATCCATGGGACTCTCAAGAGTCTTCTCCGACACCAAAGTTCAAAAGCATCACTTATTCGGCACTAAGCCTTCTTTATGGTCCAACTCTGACATCCATACATGACTACTGGAAAAAGCATAACAGCTTTGACTATATGGACCTTTGTTGGCAAAGTAATGTCTCTGCTTTTTAATATGCTGTCTAGGTTTGTCATAGCTTTTCTTTCAAGGAGCAAGTATCTTTTAATTTCATAGCTGCAGTCACCATCTGCAGTGATTTTGGAGCTGAAGAAAATAAAATCTGTCACTACTTCCACTTTTCCCCTTCCATTTGTCATGAAGTGATGGGACCAGATGCCATGATCTTAGTTTTTTCAATGTTGAGTTTTAAACCAGCTTTTTCTCGCTCCTCTTTCACCCTCATTGAGAGGCTCTTTAGTTCCTCTTGGCTTTCTGTCATTAGAGTGATATCATCTGCATGTCTGAGGTTGTTGATGTTTCTCCCAGAAATCTTGATTCCAGCTTGTGATTCATCCAGCCCGGCATTTCACTTGATGTACTCTGCATATAAGTTAACTAAGCAGGGTGACGATATACACACTTGACATACTCCCAATTTGCAACCAATCCATTGTTCCATGTCCAGTTCCAATTGTTGCTTCTTGCCCTGAATACAAGTTTCTCAGGAGGCAGGTAAGATGGTCTGGTATTCCCATCTCTTTAAGAATTTTCCAGTTTGTTGTGATGCACACAGTCAAAGGTTTAGTGTAGTCAATGAAGCAGAAGTAGATGTTTTCTGGAATTCCCTTGCTTTTCACTTTCTCCCAGCACAACCAATAATAAATGCGTAAATTTTTTTTTTAATTTGGTTACCTGGACAGAAGAAGATAAAGCATATTTCTGTCTCCTATGGAACCCCAAAATAAATTTCATAGTAAGGGTTATTATGAAATTATTATGAAAAGCAAAATTTTGGACCTTTTAGATCATATAAAAGATTTTTTTTATGACCTAGAATACAGCAAGATCTTTCAGACATGATGCAAAAAAGTACAAAACTAAAGAAAAATAACAGTTTGACCACACTGAAATTTAGAACTTCTATTCTTTATAATACACCATCAGTGGAGCTGGGAATGAGCCACAGAATGGAAGACATTGCTTGCAAGGTTTGTGACTGACAGAGGATTCATATAAAGAATGTATGAAGATGCTGCAAATGAATAGGAAGACAGATAGCCCAGGAGGCAGATGGCAAACACCTGCCGTTTCAGCAGATGAAATAAAATTTCTCATCATTTTAAAACCAAATTAAAACAGCAGTAAATTTTTATTTCACACCCATCACATGAACAATATTTTTTAAAATTCACTAATACCAAGAATTGACACATCTAAACTCAGAATAGAAGAGGAAAGAATGGAGGGGTGGGGGAGGGGGTGGAGGCATGGGGGAGGGGCTAGTAAAAGGCATAAACTTTCAGCTGTCGGATGAGTGAGGTCTGAGATCTAACCTGTAAGATGGTGACTGTAGCTGATGACACGGATCGTATCACTGAAACTTGCTAAGACAGTAGAACTTAAATGTTCTCACCAAAAATAAAAGATAAACCTGCGAGGGGATGGGTGTGTAATTAAGTGGGAGGAGCCCTTTCTGATGGGCACGCACATCAGATCGTTGTGATCTACACTCCAGCTCACGGTCTGGTTGGTCAGTCACGCCCCAGTGAAGCTGAGGAAAGAGCTGGCACATTTGTAGAGCAGTGGTGTCTCTCCTGCCTAATGCCAGAGCCTGAATCGGACGATGCTTGGATAACAAGCAGGGCCAAGCATCGGGAGGACCCACCTGCTGTCCACTGGCGAGTCCACCTGGAAGCCGGCTCCCACAACAGCCCTTCGTGGTGGCTGCAGGCTCCCTGGTGACAGCACAGGAAGGAAAAGCCTTATCACTTGGGCTTTAATGGAATACAAAGCACCCACTACACAGGGTGACTGAACCAGAACTAAAATGCATCCAGATGGCTAAATCTCAACACTTAACAGAGATTGCAGAAAGAGGAACTTTTCAGAAAAGACGCGATCTGTTACCTTTCCCATAAAACTTTCAGGCGTGCAGTGTTGTATGTCTTCATATTCTGTGGATATTCCAGCGCTGGGGGGACTGAAAAGCCCCAGACCCAATTTAGTGGTTCCCCCAGGAGGAGGGCTGTGTGAGCCGCTCTGGGCGTGGTCTCTCGCAGGTGCGCCACCGGGGAGGCCTGGCAGGACATCATGCTGGCCTGCATGCCGGGCAAGAAGTGCGCCCCTGAGTCAGAGCCGGGCAACAGCACGGAGGGGGAGACGCCCTGTGGCAGCAGCTTTGCCGTGTTCTACTTCATCAGCTTCTACATGCTCTGCGCCTTCCTGGTGAGCGGGGTGGGGCCGGCGGCCTCGGGTGCTGGGTGTGCGGTCCTAGCCGGGCTGGCAAGGCTGCGTCTCCGGAACAGTCCAACACGCTGGGAGGGGCAGGAGCTGGGCCGGGTGAGCTCAGCCATACCCTTCTCGTCCATTCTTGGCTCCTACCTTCCTCCCCGAGGACAGGAGGCTGCTTCAGCATCTCTGGCACTTTGATGAGGAGCGAGGGAAGGGTGGTAGACAGTGTCCCCTGTCCTTGGCAGCCCTGCCAGGCAGCTGGGTGTGAGGGGAAGCTGCCAGCCCACAGTGGGGTTCACGCCGCATCACTGAGGGGAGCTGGTCAGGTCTTCAGTCAAGAGAGCCATGTCCCTGGAGCCGGTGTTTCCATGGTGCCATGTGGCTGGCCTTTCGGGAACGCTGGCCTCCGAGCACGTGACCCTGACAGCCCCACGTGCAGGAAGGGCCACTGAGGCAGCTCTCCGCGCCCATCCTCTGCAGATTATCAACCTCTTCGTAGCCGTCATCATGGACAACTTTGACTACCTGACGAGGGACTGGTCCATCCTGGGTCCCCACCACCTGGACGAGTTTAAAAGAATCTGGGCAGAGTATGACCCCGAAGCCAAGTGAGTGCCCTGGGGAAACCCGAGCCCCCAGCCCACATGTGGGAAAGAGGGTCAAGACGGGTTAGCACTGGGCGGACCCACTGCAAATCCTGACCTGCACAGGACGCCAGGGCCAAGGGTCAAGGGCCAGCAATAGGAGGCCTTAGGCTGAGTCAAGACCATGTCAGCTATTTTCCATTGAACAGGCAGGCGATCCTGGTGTTGCAGCAACCTGTATGTACTTGAGTCAGGGCGTCTGGGCCGGGCAGGGCCTGGCTGTATCCCTGCCACAGGTCCATCAGTCCAGCCATCATGTTTGGTTGACTCTCAGGAAAGTGTGAGATGGTCAGATGGTTGGTTGATAAAAGCAGCAGTAAATACTGAGAATTTCATTGCCTGCTAAAATCCCTTCCACCTTTCATTGCCTACTGAAATATAGCACTGATGGAAAATTGCTCCTTAGAAATCTAAACATGTAGATTGTTTTTGGAGTTTTACCACCCAGTTCTACAGCTTGGCACCAGTTTGATCACTAGGGTCCAACTGTGGAGAGTTCCTCCCACAGGAGACCCCACCCTTGGGCATAGGAGTCCTGGGCTGCTGGCCTAGGCCTTCCCCCTGACGTTTCCTCCTCTCCTGCCTCTTCCAGGGGACGCATCAAACACCTGGATGTGGTGACCCTGCTCCGACGGATTCAGCCCCCCCTGGGTTTTGGGAAGCTGTGCCCTCACCGCGTGGCTTGCAAAGTAAGAGATGGACTGGGCTCATGGGAGACACAGCATGGGGGGGCGAGACACCTCCGGGTACTCCTGGCAGGCCAGTGAGCCTCTACAGGGATGAGGGTAGTCCTCATGAGCCTAAAGAAAGGACTGAGCCAAAACAGGCACTGGGGCTCCTTCCTGCTGCATATACATCCTCAGACAGTGAAGGAACCATGGGTTGACGTGCACACATGTTTTGAGGCTCCCCCCACCCCACTCCCACATCCTCCTGCCTTGGAGGTACCTCAGGGGTTCCACAGGCGGGTCCTTCGAGAACCAGCCACTGTGCTGACTGCTGCGCCCCCTCCCCAGCGCCTAGTCTCCATGAACATGCCCCTGAACAGCGACGGAACCGTCATGTTCAATGCCACGCTGTTTGCCCTGGTCCGGACGGCCCTGAGGATCAAGACGGAAGGTAAGGTCATGGGGGTATCTGGGAGCCCTAGTGGACCAGCCAGAGCAGAGTTCGGCGCCTGCGGTATCCCAGGGCCTCCGGCCCTTGGGGTGTCAGAGCTGCAGCCCAGCGTGATCCTCCCCCACCCCCCTGCCCTGGGGACATCAGCAGAACCAGGCCTGCTCAGGCGGCCTTTGTTCCTTGAGTGGCCTCCTTGCCTGTAACTTTTAGAGACTCTCCCAGTGACCCTTCAGGTGAAGCTCAGACGGCAGGAGGTAAGCGCTTCCTGAAGCGGGCTGAGCCTTTGCACTGTGGGGCTTTACCGGCTGCAGGTGGATCTCAGATGTTCAGCTTTCCTTGCAAAGTAAACCCTTGTCTCATCAGGAAGGGGTCGCAGTGGACGTGACCATGGTCCAGGTCAGCACGGGCCCACCCACATACAGGTGCACAGCCAGCCCGCAGGTGGGGTCAGAGCCCCCTGCACTTGTTCAGGGCCATTTCACTTGGAGGCAGGGACCGTCTTCTGGTTTGTACCGCAGCAGCCCGTGGCCAGGAGCAGCTGGACTGTGCTGACCCACCGTCTTCATGGCCAATTGGTGTCAGAACTGCTCTGGGAGGGCAGAGGTGCACCTAGGGAGCTGCAGCTGCTCCCAGCCTCCTGCAGCAACTCTTGGAGCTGGGGTGTGCTTGAGATGGAGTCCCAGCACCTGCCCTGAACACTGAGTCTGCATCCCGTGCCAGCCGCGTGCATGGGTCACCTGAGCAAAGTCTGAAACCCAGCGGCACAGTCACTAGAGAAAACCTGGCGGTGTCGTTTTTCCCTTCAGACCTTTGGATCTGAGTCTCAGGCTGCCCACCCCATCTCCCAGAGGAGCCCTGGATGGGAGGACAAGGGGGCTAGACTGTGACAACACACGACACTCTCTCCACCTCAGTTTCTTTGTGAAACAAGAAGGCGGTGACATGTGGCATTCAGTTCAGTGGACAAGCCAAGAGGTGCCTTCCCTCAACTAAATCCCCCCACAAAATGACAGAAATATCCACGATGAAGAACAAGAATAGGGTCATCAAGACCCATGTCAAAATTAGGAGCTAATAATAAAAAAAAAGAAAAACTCTTAGTAGTTCAAGTATGGCTGCTCAATAAAAAGAAACTCAGGCTGAAGAGTGGCCAAGGCCACAGGTCAAGTTGGAATAAGCATGAACAGTCCTGTTTCTGCTGACAAAAGACTGGAACAGATACATGTTGGGTGTACATGCGTGTGTGACCAGAGGGGCTCAAAAGGAAGCTTGCTGACACGTTAGCTGTGGTTGCCACAAGTGTTGGACCCGGCCATGACTTCTGTTCACTTCTTTTACCTTCTTCCCTTTCCCAAACTTTCCACAATGACTGTGATTACAATTCTGTCCAAGAGGGAAGGTTTGTTTTTCCAAGGAGGGAAGAAATGAAGACTCTTGAAAGGAGCATGCTGTGGTCCTGAAGGCTTGATGTAAAGTGAGCACGTACATTTTCATCCAGTGGAAGAATGCGAAACACTGATGCCTGAAGCCCAGAATCAGTGTCGTCAAGATACTCATCAGACCGAAGCAGGTCCCAGCTGAAGAGCCAGACACGCACAGCCCATCCCAAGGAATGCACTCCTGAGACCAAGAGAGAAGCTGGCCACGTGGGAGCTAGTCAAGCCAGGAATTAAACGAAATTCACCCACCAGCAAAGGGCTGGCGTCTCATCCCATCCTGCTCTCCCACTGCCGAGTCACGTGTCACCCCAGCCACTGTGGGCGCCCTCTCGGAAGGTCTGGAGTCCAGCTGCGAGGCAGCGACTTCTCTGCTCAGGGGCCTCCAGGCCAAAATCAACCTGTTGACCAGGACGGGTCCTCTTCCCGGGGGTCAGGGGAGATTCCCCATCCAGCCCACTCAGGCTGTCAGCAGACTCACTCCCCGCAGACTGAGACCAGCTCCGGCTGGGCCCCTGCAGCCCCAAGCTCCACGCAGTCAAGGAGGCCTCCCTTGTCTTTGGCCCACTTCACACATGATTTTTGTTTGTTTTTTGTTGTGTGCTGTTTTTTGCTGAGGCCTAAGTGACATATAACATTACATTAGTTTCAAGTGAACAAGATAACGATCCTGTTATTTGTTTATATTGCAAAACAACCACCACACATCTAGACCACACTCATCACCTCACAAGTTTACAATTTTTTTCTTGTGGTGAGGACTTTTAAGATCCTGTCTAAGCAACTTGCAGATACAGAACACAATATTGCTGCAGTTCCCATGCTGTGCTTGACATCCCCAGGACGTGTGTGTTTTATAGCTGGGAGTTTGCACCTGAGAGCACCCCCCCCTTGTGAAGGGCTCCTGGAGTGAGCCCAGGCCCCCCGAACAACCTCCCTGCCCTCAGGGCCTGTGTATCGTATCACATCACCTGATCGCAGGGTGAGACCCCGTGTTCAGTCCTGGGGCCGTGCAGGGAACGTGCACTGGTGGTGGTGGGCGGGAGCCAGGCGTGTGCTGGCCCCAGCCAGCCTCCCAGTACCCTCTGACAGCTGTGGGCCTCAGCTCTCTGAGAAAGTAGACCCCTAGGGGCCCCCGATCTCAGAACCCCGTCTTCTGGTTTCTGCTCCATACGAGGTTTGGCTGCCTCCCCAGGAGGAGACCCAACAGAGGCCTTCGACTCAGAGGCCCCCGGGTATGGACCCCCGCCTCCGCGGGTCTGCAGGGGGACCACTCTTCCTCCCAGTGGCCTTCCTGGCAGGTCGCCATTGGGCTCAGTCTGGCCCTGGCAGCCCCCACGAGAAGAAGCCGCAAGTGGGGTGCAGGGTCACCCCGGCTGCCAAGCAATAGGTGGGGGCAGGGGAGAGCTGGCCAAGAGGGCACGGAGGTGGGCCGCGGGAACCTGCAGAGGAAGAGACAGAACCCACGTTCAGGGCCGCTGGGCAGAGCCCTCGGGCAGCCACGTGGGCTCCCGCTCAGGGACCAGCCCAGCCCACCGGAGGCCCTGGGGACAGCTGCCAGTCAGCCTGTGTCCCCCCCACAGGGAACCTGGAACAGGCCAATGAGGAGCTGCGGGCCATCATCAAGAAGATCTGGAAACGGACCAGCATGAAGCTGCTGGACCAAGTGGTGCCCCCCGCAGGAGGTGAGTACCCCCCGCTGCCCTGGGCACGTGCAGGTCCCACATTCAGCCTGCAGGAGACCTGCCTGTTCCGACTGGAGCCTGGTCCTAGCCTGAGGTCACTGGGGAAGCCAGGCAGGCCCCTGGATCCCTGCAGGTTTGGGAGAACTTCAAGCAAACTGCAAGGTAGAGGCTTTCCTCTAACCCACCCGGCTGGGTGCTGTGGGAATGACAGGGCCCTGGAGGAAGAACCCCCGGGACCCCCTCTTTTATTCCTCCTGAGGCAGGTTATGAGCCCCCGGGACCCCTTTTTGTTCCTCCTTGACGACCCTGTCTAGCTGTCCTGCATATACAATTACTAAAATATAACACTTGAATACAAAATATATTGTTGGATTGGCCGAAAAGTTCATCCAGATTTTTCTGTAAGATGCTCCTTCAGAAAAGCCCAAGCAAACTTTCTGGCCGACTCAATATAATCAAAGTTTTTCAATGAATACATGCTCAGGGGCAATTGTGCCCAAAGCTGTGGGCACCTGGAGCTTCGGGATCACAGAAGTCAGTTAGCAAGCTCAGTTAGGTTTTAAAAGCAAGGTGGGAAATCATTTTGATGATATGCTAATTTTTCTGTGAGAAAGGAGAGGATAATAATATATTTGGGGCTTCCCTGGTGGCTCAGCAGTAAAGACTCTCCTTCAATGTAGGAACTGCAGGAGACTCAGGTATGATCTCCGGGTTGGGAAGATCCCCTGGAGAAGGGAATGGTTATCCACTCCAGTATTCTTGCCTGGAGAGTCCCATGGACAGAGGAGGCTGGTGGGCTACAGTCCGTAGGACCGCAAAGAATTAGACACGACTGAAGCAACTGAGCACGCGTGCAGGAATATATTTGCTTACTTGCAGAAAGTATTTGCATAAAGAATCTCTGGGAAAATACTCAGGAAATGAATGAGAAAGGTTATCTGAAAGGAAACGGGAGTGGAAGGGCTACCCTTCACTGTACACAGGTCTTTTTGTATATTTTTGTCTTTTTCAACCATGTGCGTGGAGAGTGTCTTCTCAAAAAAATTAAATTGATCGCTTCTCAACCTTTTGACTAAGATCAAGTGTTGTATCTGTTCTTATCAGTTTAAAAAAGTTAAACTGAGAAAACCTAAGAAGCTGAGGACACTCGGACAGGGTCCAAGCCCCCATTTACCTCCAACCCTGTCCTCCCTTGGCTCTCAGATGACGAGGTCACGGTGGGCAAGTTTTACGCTACTTTCCTGATCCAAGAGTATTTCCGGAAGTTCAAGAAGCGCAAAGAGCAAGGCCTGGTGGGCAAGCCCTCCCAGAGGAACGCCCTGTCCCTGCAGGTGAGGGGCCCTTGCCCCTGGAGGCCTGGCACCTCCTCCCAGCTCCACCAGGCCCCAAGCTCCCACGGGTCCCTTCCTGAAATTCCGAGCCCGCAGGGGGACCCTTCCCTCCCGCCCTGCCTGCTGCACCCGCTGCCCTGGACTCTCACCCCCCCTGAGTTCAGGGAGTGGGGGGAAAGCCTGGGGGTCTGCTGATGTCTCTGAGACTGCCCCCCAACGTGCCTGCGCCCCCTGTGGACCCCCGGAGCTGGCCTCCTTGAGGAGAAGCAGAGGGGAAGGTGGGTGGCGGGTCGGGTGGGTGCCTGGGCCCTCACACCCTGTCCCCTTGGCCCAGGCTGGCCTGCGCACCCTGCACGACCTGGGGCCCGAGATCCGCCGGGCCATCTCTGGGGACCTGACCGCCGAGGAGGAGCTGGACAAGGCCATGAAGGAGGCGGTGTCTGCGGCCTCAGAAGATGACATCTTCAGGGTAGGTGGGCACTCTGGCCGCAGTCTACAGCCTCCATAAGCTGGGTTTGGGGCAGGAGGGTGAGTGTCCTGAACCCGAGGAAAAAGCCCTGGGTCTGTGGTAGAACCAGCCCTGTCCCCCGAGTTCTCCCATCCCTCTCCCTCCCCTCCCCTCACCTCTCCTCCCAGCTCTCCCCTCCCCCCTCCCTCAGCCTCCATCAAAGCCTAGTCCTTCTCAAGCTCACAGAGCATCCCCTGGAGGAGCAAGAAGCCATTTTCCTAAGGAAGGGCTTCTGAGGAGACGCTTCTTCGTTACACATTGCAAAGTGGTGGCCTTGGGGCCACGTTTAAGCCACAGGCCTATCTTGTCTGCCAACCTTTGAATGCATGGCTCATTCAAAAAATCTAGACTTCCAGCCTCTTGCAAAAATCAGAAGACGTGCAGTATCAGGCAGCAGGCACCTGGAAGCCAGTGGTGACCTGGACTTGGACCATGAGGTCTCCAGTCCCAAGCATCCCCTCCGGCCCCCCACCTTGCTGGGTACTGAGGCTGCCAGCAGTACTAACCGTGAAAACTAGAGCCCGCTGGGATTCTGAGGCCCTTGTACCCAGATCTCTTCACGAACCCCAAGGCACTCGGCTAAAAACCCCACAGCGAATGAGACACTGCCGCCCAGATCTAAGCCACAGCTGCTCACCCTGCCCTCCCAGCCCCGCCAGGCTCCCAGGCGGCAGGAACACGGGGTGAGAGGGGCCCGGACCCTGAGGCCGTCCTGTCCTTGCCATTCTCCTCCCCATGACTGTGAAACGTCCCTCACTGCATGGCTCAGGGACACGCTAGCGTGTCAGCGTGACCTGGGAGACCCCAGCCTGGCAGAGGCTCCTTGCCCAGGACAGGGAGGGAAGCTGGGAGAAACACGGACTCCAAATTTGAAATCGAAGACTCTCCAGGGAAGGAGGCCTTGGTTGCCGTACTTGCTGTGGTGATTCTCAGAACCGCTTGGCCAGCGCAGTTTCCAGCTCACTGAGCCAGCCGGGTCCTTGTCTGTCAATCCCCTTGACACCTCTGGCCCCTTTCTCCGCGTCTTGGCGCCCACGAGCCTGCCCGCCCCAAGGAATGGTCTCCATTCCAGACAGTCGCTGCGCCTGCCCCCCATCCCATTGGTCCTGGAATGAGGTCCTGTCACCCCTCCACCTGTGGTTCCCCCAGAGGTCTCAGGGGACTGCCTGGGCCCTTCCAAGCTGCCAGGCTCGTGGGTGAGAGGCCGGGTCGGCTGGGTGGTGCCCAGCGCGATTGAGCTCCCTCCCTCCCCTGCGGGCCAGGGCCTTCACCCAGCGCCCTCTCTCTGTCTCTCTTCCCCCGCAGAGGGCCGGCGGCCTGTTCGGCAACCACGTGGGCTACTACCCCAGCGATGGCCGGGGCGCCTTCCCCCAGACCTTCACCACCCAGCGGCCCCTGCACATCAGCAAGGCAGGCAACAGCCAGGGGGACACCGAGTCCCCCTCCCACGAGAAGCTGGTGGATTCCACCTTCACCCCCAGCAGCTACTCGTCCGCGGGCTCCAACGCCAACATCAACAACGCCAACAACACCGCCCTGGGCCGCCGCCCCCGCCCCGCTGTCCACTCCGGTGCTGTCGGCACCTTGGAGACCTGCGGGCCCCCCTTGTCCCCTGCCATCCGGGTGCAGGAGGCCACGTGGAGGCACAGCTCCCAGAGGTAAGCAGGGGGCACAGAGGGACTCGGGGAGCAGCGTTTGGCCGGAGACCCACCTCTCGGCCCTCAAGCTGGGGTGGACCACTGCTGCTGCCGGGACCCTGACCAGGGGGCAGGTGGATGCTCAGGGAGGCACCGTGGCCCCACTGGCCAGCACATGTCATGAGGTGCCCACCTCTAGACGGGGCAGAGGAGCCCTGGCCCGACCCCTGAGATGTTCGCATCCTGGAGACACAGCAGTCTCCGGCCCCCGGGCCCTCCTCAAGTCTCTGCCCTAATCTGGCCTTGGGGCCAACCAGTCCGGGACGGGCCCCTCTTCTGGAGGCAGGAGGCCCTTTTCTGGAGTGCTCGCCGGCTCTGCTCCAGCCTGGGGTGATTCCTGGCCATCCTGCCAGCGTCTCCAGCCCCCGGCCTTTCTCTCCTTCCACTCTCTGCTCCCCGATGAGCCGGGACCCCCAGCTGGGATGTGCTGGGCTGGTGGTGCCCACCCCACGCTCTGGGCCTCGGGCAGCATTTACATTGGCAGCTCTGGGTTCCACGGCTGGGGGATCTGGTTGCTTCACCCGAGCAGGACAGCAGTGCCAGCAGGAGCTCGGGCCCAGAAGTGACCTCTAACCCCCAACCAGTGTCCTGAGCAGCCTTCGTCCCTTCCAGAAGCAGGCTCCCCTCCTTGGTGTCCGTGCCCCCTTCACCACCACGCCTGAGTTAACCAAGGCCCCAGCCCTGGGCCACATCCCTCCCCTTGCAGCTCAGCGCTGAGTGGGGGTCGGGCCAGCTCTGCCCCCAGGGTGTGCTGCCCGCCTGCTATGACTCTCCACCCCCAGCTCACCCCGTGTGCCCCACCATGCCCTCCCCCTACCCTCCATGCCAGCGAGAGCCTTCCCATCTCATGTGTCCTTCACCTGGGGGAGGGCACCCCCTCCAAGGGAGGTCAGGGCCTCCCCTGAGAACTGCCCGGACCCTCCCTGAGTGGCTGATGGGCCCCAGGTCAGAGCTGGACAATGACCCGCACTCAATTCTGAGAAGATGAGCAGTGATGACTCCCAGATTCCCAGTGAGTCTGAGCATAAAGGGACCCTAACTCTCAGGACCTGTAGGGAGAAAGATGGATACAACGGGAAAGGGGGGCCGGAGACCAGAGCTAAAGATGACATGACCAAATGAACAGAAGCCCAGGGCCCAGGGGAGAGCTCAGCCCAGGGCACATTCTGGTGTGAAGGGTCTCAGCTCAGGGAGGCTCCTGCTCAGGGTACTCAGGCTCACGCCCCTCTGCTCAGAGGAGCAAGCCTCTTTGTGAGGCCTCTTCTCCATGCTTGACTCTAAGAATCAACATCAAACTCAAGGCATGTCAGCTATGACCCCAGGAAGCTCCCAGCAAGTGCCCCCAGGCCCTACTGTCTACAGCAGCAGGAGGGACAGCCCCTTCCCTGCCCCCACCCCAGCCCTTGTGTAAGATCTGACCACCCCACCTTCCAAAGCACCATGTCATCAACTGCTTCATTTGTCACAACCAAAGCCACACAACAGACAGTTGTGCTGGTAGGGACGCTGAGGCATGGGTGGGCAACATGACTTGTGCTGGGAGAAACTGACCAGCTCAGAACTCAGATCTCCTTGGATCCTAATCCCGAGGCCCCTCCCCCACGTGGAACCCTAATGGGAGCACTTCTGGGTCCGTCAGTGGTTGTGTGGATCCTTACCTGCTGGGGGAGGGGAGGGGCTGGCAGCTGCTGACCTTTGTCTCCACTCTGGACACTTTAGGTGTCCCTCCCGGGACAGCCCGATAGCCATGCTGTGTCAGGAAGAGGTCCCTGGAGACGAGACCTGTGCCGTGCACCTGGATGAGGACGCAGAGCACAGCCGCGAGCCCAGCCTGGTCTCCACGGAGATGTAAGCTCATCCCTCCCTGGGGAGGGGCCCCCGACTCCTCCTCCGGCAGCTGCAAAGAGGAGGGAAGCCCCCCACTCTGGTTAGCCTGATGCTTGCTTGAGAAATGATGCTTCCAGGGAAACATCTAAATGTTGTTTCCCTAAGCTTTTTTCACTGTGACCAGACATCGTAAATATAGTTTACAGTGAAGCTCAATAGATACACACGTGCATACCTTGACTGACTCAGACGGTAAAGAATCTGCCTGCCATGCAGTAGACCCAGGTTTGATCCCTGGGTTGGGAAGATCCCCTGGAGAAGGGAATGGCAGCCCACTCTAATATTCTTGCCTGGAGAATCCCATGGACCGGGGAGCCTGGGGAACTATAGTCCATGGGGTTGCAGAGTCGGACACAACTGAGTGACTAACACTTCACTTCATACGTTTAAGTGGCTTCCCTGGTGGCTCAGAGGGTAAAGCGTCTGCCTGCAATGAGGGAGACTTGGGTTTGATCCCTGGGTTGGGAAGATCCCCTGGAGAAGGAAATGGCAACCCACTCCGGTACGCTTGCCTGGAAAATCCTATGGGCGGAGAAGCCTGTAGGCTACAGTCTATGGTAGGCTACAGTCTATGGGCTCTCAAAGAGTCCCAGGGTACTGAGCGACTTCACTTTCACTTTCACTTTCTCTTCCTGAAACTGCATATAATAAAGCTGACAGCAGAGGGCGCCGTTGGCAGCCGTAACTGAGAACACCAGAGCCAGTTCAAGGGAAGGGTTTTTAAACTGCAGATCCGGACCTGTGAGGGGGCTGTGACATTTGCTTAGTCAGTTACAATCAGCACTCCTAAAAGAACGCACAGGAAAATGAAAATAAAAAAAGGAAGCACAGGACAGGACAGGACAGCAGGAAGTAGCGTGGCCAGCGTCACAAAGGCAGCACTGTTTTGTGAAGCTTTGTTGCCAAGTCTCATAACTCTATATATAACCTGTGACTGTAAGTTGCGTTCACCAAGCTGAAGCTGTGTTAGACGCTTTCCTGAGAGACACGCTTCATCACGGGGAACTGCTCGCCCTTCTGGCTTCTGACGTTCTGAGAAGGGATTACTACGCGGCCACTCACCATCACCTATGCCCTCCGTGCACGGTCGGTGCTCACAGGCCACTGCCAGGTGTGGGTGAGACATTCAGAGAGGCTCAGGGTCACCCAGAAGCTGGGTCTTCAAGAGTGGGGGCAACCTGAACAGTAAGACAGTGCAACAGGAGGGTGACCGCGCTGACGGTAAGGGGAACATCTGGCGGGTTTTATCCAGCACCTTCATGGCTTGTGGTCAGCGCACCAGGAGGACAGCTGCTGCCCTGAGAGCACAGGTGGCGGCCTCGTTGGCGACAGGAAGGGCTGAGTGCCGAGGCAGCCCCACTGGGGCCTGTGCAGTCAGCCTAGGGCCCACAGCGGCTGTTTTCAGGGACATGGCCTGGGCCCAGGCAGAGCAGCATCTCGCGGGCGCAGTAGATGCAGGCACGGAGCCTGGGGGTCCGAGTCCAGCCTTCGCGTGTGGCCATCGTGAGCCCCAGGCCAGGAGGAGCTATTTCCCACTGAGTCCCCGTCAGAAAGTCCAGGAGCCATTGGCTGACTAGACACCCCAAGGTCCCCCAGCCATCTGTCACCAGTGACCACACGTTTGTGCTCCCGCTGACCAAGGGTGGGCAGGCCGGGACAGTGTGGGGAGGCACAAGCTTAGGCTCATCCTGGGAGGGGCTGCATAGACAGCATCCATCTGTGACCACGGAGGAGTCCAGGTCATTCCAGAGAGAAGCTGTGGGCCCACAACTGTGTTCCAGCTTTCTCAACAACGGTGACCAACTTGTCCACACCTACCAGCATCAGAGGCGTGGGGGCACACAGGGAACAGACGAGAGGAGCCGGGAGCTTCTGCTGCCCCGTAGCCTGTAGAAAGCAGCGTCGGGGGTCCCCTCACTGAGAGAAGCAGACGTCCTGGGGTGACTGTCTCAAGTGCTCTGTTCCAGGCTCTCCTACGAGGATGACGAGAATCGGCAGCTGACTCCCCCTGAAGAGGACAGGAGGGACGTCCGTCTGTCCCCAAAGAGGGGCTTCCTGCGCTCCGCCTCCCTAGGTAACCCCACCCCCTTCTCTAGAGGCAGTCACCCCCTCCCCGGTGATGACAAGGCACGCAGGAGTGACCAAGGAATGTCAAGGCCTGGCTGCAAAGGCCTCCCGTGTGGGCCCCAGGGTGGAGCTGGCCTGGGGCTGGACGTGTGCTAACGCTACATTTCTGGCGGGGGCACATCCTCGCCCATCCCTGGGTGTGAGCTGTCGCAGCCACGTCCTCTTTCCTTGCTGAGTCATCACTCATGTGCAGGTCGAAGGGCCTCCTTCCACCTTGAATGTCTGAAGCGACAGAAGAATCCCGGGGGAGACGTCTCTCAGAAGACAGTCCTGCCTTTGCACCTGGTTCACCATCAGGTAGCCCCACCTGGAGACAGGCTACCCCTCCCCCACGGGCTGGCTTCCCTGTGAAGAGGAGCAGACCTCCGGACCCCCAGTCACCCTTCCTGTCCCACACCGCTGCTGCGTCCCCTGCCCTGCCCGAATAGCCCCTGGGGAAGGGCTCTGCGCACCCGAGGACCGTGTACCCCCAGGCAGGACACCCAAGTGGTTCTGGAGAGCCCCTGGGAGGGTGGAAGGACCAGCAGCTCTCATCTCCCTCCAGTGGCCAGCTGTTCCCCTCCCAGAACTAACTGTTGCTCGTAGCTAGAGCCTGGACATTGAGCAGCACAAAATTCCATCTGTGAAATATGGAAATAACCAAAGGACCTTCCAGCAGCATGGTCAGGGCAAAGATATGTCAGGAGAGCAGGTCCAGGCAGATTCAGTAGTTGAAGTGGCTCTTGGCCTGAGTGACGCCAAATGAGGGGGTGAAACCCAAGACCCCAGCTTCAAGCTTCTCTTAGGACCTTAGGCCCGACAGAGGTTTCCAACAGCTGAACAATCCCCAAGGCCGGTCTCTCTCCTCCAGGCAAATCAGGGTCTAAACTGGACTCTCCCCCACCTTCTCATCTCCTTGATTACACTTCCTTATCACGGGCTCTTACTTCAAATGGCTTTTTTATCCCAAAGGTGTTCCGTGCCCATCAGGGCTTATAGCCAGTACAAGACAGGCAGAGTGATTCTGCCTGGGTGAGGGCACTTCTGCTCAGGTTTTGCTCAGCCTGAGTGCTGTCACCGGAGGACACATGGTCTCCGTGGGGCTTTCTGGAATGTCAGCAGCTCTCTGGGGGCCCCAGGAGGGGAGGCCGGCAGGCTGGGAGACACCACGTGCACTGCTGAGGGATTCCTAGGAGCTGGTCTCTCCATCTCTGCTGATGGTGCCCGAAGGAAGACCCTCCCTCTCTTTGCATCCTCCCGTTCTGCTTTCGTGCTCCCCTCTGACCCGTGGGCCACGCTCCCCTCTCTGGCCCTCGGGCTGGGCCTCCCCTCCAGGCAGTGTCGCTCCCCATGGCCCATCACGTCAGAGCTGGTGGAGAGAATACACAGCTAACAGGGGCAGGGCTGGGACTATAGGGAAGATGACCGTTAGCCCACCAGGCCTTGGCCTTCTGAGCTCAGGGGAGAAGGATCCCGGCTGACTGATGGTCACAAGGTCTGTTAGGGCAGTTGAGACGAGCTCTGGGTCTGGGTGCATGACCTCGAGGGTACAAGTGCCGGGAAGGGTCAGAGACAGGGACAGGGCTCACACTCTCCCATCCTGTCCACAGGCGCTGGCAGTGGCGGGCCTGAGCCCCCTCCTGCAGAGAAGCCATCCCCCCGGGACCCTCCCCCCACCACGCCTCACGCCCCCTGCCACACCTGGCCCGGCCTGGCCTCCACGGCCCGTGCCTACCCTGCGGCTGGAGGGGGCCGAGTCCAGCGACAAGCTCACCAGCAGCTTCCCATCCATCCACTGCGACCCCCACGTCGGGGAGCCCACATCCTGCGGGGTCAGCGGCACCCCCCGGAGGGCCCGGCCCGTGTCACTCACTGTGCCCAGCCCGGCAGGGCCCCAGGGCCGGCCGTTCCACGGCAGTGCCAGCAGCCTGGTGGAGGCGGTGAGTGCTTGGGTACTGCCCGAGTGCTGGGCGGTGGGGGGTTCAGGCAGAACAGAGGGGACTCTGGTTCTCCCAAGCACATGGAACATCAAGTCTCTTGGCCAGAAAGACACTCATTCAGGTGTCCAGTCCACATGCGTGCCCGGCCGGCTGAGGAAGAGCAGTCACACCAGCCAGGAGACCAGGGGAGCCCTGCAGGGAGAGGGCCGTGAGGGAACTCGGAGCGGGAGGAGGGGACCAGGCAGGTGGGGAGCAGACTGGACAGGAGGGGGACTCCTAGGCTCACCTGCTGCGTCCCCGAGGCCACCAGGAAGGGGGCAGGTGCTTCAGGACAAACGGGCTGGTGCCAGGTGTGTTCTGCACACGCACACACACCACACACACCCACACACACACACCACACACCACATTGTCCCAGGATCGTCAGCCCCAAAATGCATCCAGGGGCACTGGGCCAGGTGTCACCAGAGGAGCCTGAAGGTTTCCTGGAAAGAGTCACGTGGGGGCTCAGGGCACCTCCAGGGGAGGATACTGGGGGAGGACAAGGGCCCCCGCTTCCTCCACGCATGCAGCCTGCCTGCACTTGACAATGGTGCCCCCCGCCAGAGGTCTCTCCTCAGGCCTGCACACCCGAGTGTCCTGGGGGCACTCTGTCACACTCCTTCCTGGCATGCAGGCACATGCATACATGTACACCCATGTGCACACACATATACGCATACACACACTCTCTTCCCCATGTGACCCCTCAGAAGCCCCTGCGCCAGCCCCATGGGGAAGAACTGGACTCAGAGTAACGTCGCCGGTCTCTGTCCCCCAGGTCTTGATCTCGGAAGGATTGGGGCAGTTTGCTCAGGACCCCAGGTTCCTCGAGGCCACCACGCAGGAGCTGGCCGACGCCTGCGACATGACCATCGAGGAGATGGAGAGCGCGGCCGACGACATCCTCAGCGGGGGTGCCGGGCAGAGCCCCAACGGCACACTGCTCCCTTGTGCAAACTGCAGGGACCCGGGGCCGGACCGAGCGGGGGGCGTGGAGGACGCAGCCTGGGCGCCCAGCGCCGAGCCCCGCCAGGGCACAGAGGAGCCCCGGGACAGCAGGGCCTTCGCCAGCGGCCTGTAGCAGCCGGGCCGGAGACGCCGGCTTTTTATTTGTCTCAATGTTCCTAATGGGTTCGTTTCAGAAGTGCCTCACTGTTCTCGCGGCCTGGAGTTAACCGGAACAGCGTCTTCATTCATTTCGTGGGGACAAGACCAAGTCGGTGGCCAGGAGAGAAGCAGCCGCAGTCCGTGTCCGGCGGGGGGCGGTGGGGGCGGGGGCGCGGGCACCAGGGAGGGGTCCGCCTTGGCTCCCCAGCCCTCACCCAAAGGACCCTATGCTAAACGGGTGTCTTTCAACTTTGCTTGTAAAAAACTCATTTTGCACATATTCTGTATGAGCCTCACTGTCCCCATAGAGCCAGGGCCCTGTGCGTCCACAGAAGGAAAGAGGACCCGGCCCGCCCCTGGGGAGGAGGAGGCCGGCCATGGCCACCCACACCACCTGTGTCTGGACCCTTCCTGCCAGGCCACAGTCATGGGGCCAGGGGAGCGGGCGTGCCGCCAGGACAAGACCGGTGGTGACTGTCCAGCGCGCTTTTGTTTTGGGATTTGACATTTTTCTTGACAGCATGTTGCAGTTTTCATTTGGGTTTTTTTTTTTTTAGTATATAATTTTGTTTTCCCAGGGGGAGGGGAGAAAGATGAGTGTTTACAAAGTTTTGCAGCCACGCACCTTACTGTCTTCACTTTTGCAAATGTAGATTGGATTTGGTTTTGTTTGTGTTATTTAGTGGTCGGTTTCTTTTTCTGCAGAGGATTCAGCTGAGCCGCCGTAGGAGGGTTTTGTCAGCCATCATGTACACCCAATAATTTGTTATAATTTCCGCAGGTAGTGACAAGATTTTTTTGGTTTGGTTTCCTAATTTAAAGGTGTAGGGTCTTGCACAAGTGTGTATAGTAGTGGGTGCCCGGGGCCTCTGCGAGTGTGTGTGCCGTGTGTGCGGCGGGTGGTGTGTGTGTGGTAGGGGCCCGTCTGCAGCCACCAGGCTTCCTGCAGGTCCCCTTCAGGCTCAGCTGTGGGGAGGCCTGAATCTGGGGCCGTTCGAAAGCAAAAACAAACCACTGTCTCCGCTTCTGAAACGGGAATCAGTAACTGCATTTTCTGTCCCACAAGATATGCAAAAACAATGCAATAATATTCATTTTAAAAATACAATTGTGAGTTGTGTTGGCATTAAAACTGTATTTAAAAAAACCACACAGAAATTTAAGGGAGAAACTCAGAAGGCTTTTCGCTTCGATTTGTTCTATGTGACGTTTCACTGCGTTGATGGTGTTTCTGCTGAAGAGACCGTTATACTTGAATTCAGGTCAGTCTCAGTATTTTACAAATATTTTTTTAAAACTGAATTGCAATTGTGCCAAGCGAATATAATGAATTAAGTTTGTTTTTGAATTCACTTCTTGTATATTTGCTGCATGTAAGTAAATCATTTTGTATTTGGAGTGTGACAAGCCTTACCTTTGAGCTCTTAAGTGCTTTTCTACGTGTAGCTGGGAAACGGGACAGTTCTTCCTCTCGGTTGTGTGACGAGTGCCGGCACCACCCGTGGGGGTCCCACGCAGGCTTGGGCATCGCTGTTTTGCATATCTTGTGTTCGCTTCCGTTTGCCTCCATTTTCCCCAGCCTGGGTGTAGGTGTATCCGTATCTTGCTTTGAGAGACCAGGACTCGTCTATTCCACCCTCACTCTGTCCGCTGTGCCCCGGTTCTTGGATTTGGGATTTCTCCAGGGACAGCCCCGCACCGTGAGGGGTCGTGGGGTGCCCTGACCAGCCTCTTCCATCACAGGCAGGCATAGGGGCCCCTCCCCCAGGAGAGGTGGCTCACCTCACTGTTAGGCATGCCCCAGCACAAGCGTTCCTTAGGAATGTGTCCACTGACCAGGAGGGTGGAAGAGAGGGCGTCCTCAGCTAGACAGCAGGGGCTGGAGCCAGGCAGCAGGTTGACATCTCGTCTGTCCAAAGCCAAGTGCATCCGGCTCACTTCTCCACCTTCAGGGTCTCCTCCAGGGTCCGCCGTCATGGACCGTGGAGGGACCAGGATCGAGGGTAGTGCATGGGAAGCTGGTGGTGAGGGTGGGACCAGAGGCCCTGGAGGGGCATCTCTGTTGGGTGCTGAATCCTCAAGCAGATTCCAGCAGTGATCATTGAAACGTGCCCAGTTTGGGGAAACAGGATCCAAGCATTCATCTAGACCCTCCCCGTCGAGTCACCTCCGATCCCGGGCTCGCCCAGCCCCTCTCAGCACTGACTCGGGTGAGCAGCCCATTCCTCCATAAAGATGTGCTTTGCTGTGATGGACTGATTTTCCTGTGATGGACTGATGCTCAGCCCCCAGTGAACAGTCTGGGGACAGCAGGCTGCGCCCTGTTGCTCCAGGCCCAGCCCTTCCCATCTCGGGCTTCTTCTCGGTGCCACCGTGGTCTTCTAGACATTTCGTTCGAGTCCCTTGTCCACTTTCCCTGTGTCTGCCTCGGCCACTAAGATGTTAGCTCCAGTGGAGAACAGAGCCTTTCGGCCGTGGTGCCTGGTTCCCGCTGTACGTTTGGCCCCCGGTTAGAAATATGGGCTCTCAGCGGACCTCCCCCGCACACCCGCACACACATGGCCTCCTCGTATTGCCTTTCGTTTTTGTTTTGCACTTGCCATCTGTGTCACCAAGTCTCACTGGCCAGCTCGTGCTGGGCTCTGCCAAGGGCACCCTCACCCCATCTCGCAGCACAGGCCTCCTCACTGCCTGCTCGTCTGTTGGGAAGACCTGTCCAGGGAAGGGTCTCCCTGGGCCTGCGTGCAGGCCCGGCTAGCGAGGGACGGACAAGTGACACCTGTCCTCCTGAGCCTCGTCCACAGCGTGGTCTTCATCTCTACACCTGACTTAGAGCCGTCTCAAAAGCAGAGCTGTCGGGTCTTCTGAAACCCTTGGGTGGCCGGAGAAAAGCCACAGTGGCCGAGGACCCTACACGCCTGAAGAGTTTGGGTCCAGGGTTCGTGAACCTGGCTTGTGTTTGTCCCCCGACAGGCAACCTCTTGTTTCCACCTTGATCTTACAGTTACTCAGGAGCTTGTCTCCTCCCCACCCCCTCCTAGAAAGTTCTTTTTGGTCTTGGGCAAGAAAGGGTGATTTTATCCCCCCAGATTTCAGCTCAATTCATGCATTTTTTTCTGCTTTGGTTCAGAGGCTCTTTGTTCAAGTCGCTTCCCTCATCTTCTCAGTCTGGCTGGACCCCAGAGTCTTGTGCACCCCGTCTTTATCTTCCTCTGTGCTCCGGCTTCCGAGCTCTGGGGGTCACCAGGAGCTGCCCATCGCGTCTTCCCCACCGTCGTCCCCTCAGACCATCTCCCCAGTGGTCAGCTAAGAGCACCTCGCCCTCCAAGGCCGACGAAGTGTCTTTCTGAGGAAAATGAGCCCCTGGAAGGGAAAGCTTGGAGGTCACGGGGTGAGGCTTTTCCAGGGGGCGGGTGATAGCATGTGCCCCCACCCCAAAGGCCAGGAAACAGAAGGGACTTAGAGCAGCATAGGGAGGAGGCGGAGGAGGAGGGGAGGGTCAGTGCTGGCAGCCTCGGCACACCTCATCACAGATGTGGCTAAGGACAGGGGTGGCCTCTCCCCGACTCCCCGAGGAGCCTGCAGGGACAGGCACGTTATGTCTGAGAGGCAGAAACGGCCAGGGAAGGGAGACCTGGCGTCCACCCTCCAGGCCCCCCCGTCACTCCGACCAGAGCGCTGGTCTGCGGCGAGCACCAACACAGATCCGAAGGGAAATGGGGACCCAGGGCCTGTTTGACCCCCGTGTCTGCGGCTTCTTTTCATGGAAACATCTGTGGTGACCTCCTGCCTTGGCAGGGACAGTAGAGGGGCCGAGCCCCCAAGATCTGCTTCAGAAGAAGAAAAAATAAAATTCTGCTCCAGCTTATTTCCCAGCTGAACCACCCTCCAGACATGTGTGGTGTCTGCCCCCCCCCCCGGCCCCCTCCTCTGCAGAACCCCCTCCCACACGTGGGCCGTGGGCCCTGAAGGTGGGGGGGTGGGGGCACGGGGAGAGGCGACCTGAGGTCACCCCGGGAAGCCAGTGTCCAGCTTTCCCAGCAGCTGTACCATCAGGGGGACCTCCCTCCCTCTCCCGGTGCTCCCCCCATCCCCACCCCCGTTTTCCCTCCCCCGGTTGGGTGAGAGGGGGGCCCCCCCACGAGCCAATTCTGACGTAGTTTCTTTGTGTCTTTATTTATTTATTTATTTTTATGTCAAAGCAACAAAGCGCTGCCTTTTGGGGCCAGAGAGCAAACTATCAGGTAAATGGGTTTCTGCCTGGTTTCCTGTTGTCAGGGAGATACTTGAGGCGTGCCCATGCACACATCTACACATGCTCATGTACACACGCACTCACCTGCACGTGCACGCATGGGCACGCACACTCACGTGCACACACACCTGACGGGCAGCACTGGCCCTCCCAGGCTGATCCTCCTCTCAGAAGGCTAAGCACTGGCCACAGAGAGAAGCGGAAGTGCCCCCCACCCCGGGGAAAAGGTGCCCGTTGGAGTGACTATAAACTAAATGTCGCTGCCTTTCATCAAGAACATTCCACCACCCCTAAAATCAAAGTTTTCCTGCGGTGAACTCAGGAGACTTGGTCCACAGTAGGCCACGGGGTGGGTGGAAGGTGCCCGGGGGCTGCCTGGAGTGTCAGCAGAGACCCCTCCTGGGCGGTTGCCCCGGGACATGCGGGATGTGCTGTGAGGCTGAGGTGGGCCAATGGCTGGAGCCTCAGGGCAGAGCCCAAGGCAGGATTGTCCCCGGAGTCTCCCTTTCTGCAGGGAATCAGGGACACCCAGGCCCTGGCTTGGTTCACCAGGTGACAGGAGAGATCATTCGAGCCCGCAGCCTCCTGCAGCGCGGGGGCAGCCCTTTGTGGGGCGTTCAGGTCCCCAGTTTTCAGAACAAGTGGTCTAACTCGGATTCAGCTCTCGGAAAGATAGCAGGACACTGAGTCCGCGTGAATTAACAACAGTGCGCCACCTG